AGCCAGCACACTAGTAGGTGGGGAGCCACCTACACTAAGCAATGGGAGCTATTGATGGGTGTGTTAAGCCCTACCCCTCTCACAGAGATAGGTACCTCCTTGTAGCCTGGATTTAGGCACCTATCTCTGCTGGCGATCCACAACAGGAACCCCTCTCCTACAGTCAGTGGCTAAGCCATTTCTTGTGAGAATGAGCTAGGGAAGTCCTTAATTCAACTCAAAACAATCTTATAACCTTTAGCCCATGAACCTTTGACAGGGGAGATTTTGGTTCAATTCCCCTCCCCTACCCTGAAGAGGGCAGAAGGATTTGAACAGGAAGAGGCTACTTCCTGGGAATGGTGCTCTAATGACTGAGCTGCGTGACATTCTGATGCAGGGTTCCCCCAGTCTCTGCTGTTGCAGCTGTTCCACTCTGCATAAATATTAAAGAGTGTCTGGAGCTTCAGCACTGCATTCTGGGGCCCTCTGCCTCCAGGAGGTGCCCTAGGCAACAGGCTATGGCATTGTTATTTTTTCCTCACTCCCTCTCCTCCAATGACTATTTAAATATGTATACACAGTGGGACAGTTCCACCAGAAGATATTGAGGGCTTCCCCCACCAATCAGAATATCCCATAGCTTGGTGGTTAGAATGCTCTCCTGCCAGGTGGAAGACCCCTAGTAAAAACTTTGCTCCCCCATCAGGCAGAGGGAGAAATTGAAGCCAGGTTCCCTACATACCAGGTGAGTGCATTAACCACTGGGCTAAAAGTTATAAGGTTTGCAAGGGTAGCAATGCCTCCTCTGGCCATATTTTGAATGGGTCCTGATCCAGTAGGTGACAGCTGAGCACAGCTACTGGATCAGGCTACCCTCCTATCTCCACCCAGTTTGTGGATGGCTTAGGCAGGAGATTGGGCATGTGCCCTGCTGCCTAGGGAACTTTCCCAGTGAAGATACAGGCACCAAGTAAACATTAGGCACATACATGGATCAGCGGCAGCTGGAGGGGAGTTTTGTGGCTTGCAGTGGAACCTAAAACTAGGATTTAGGTGCTTCAATCTGGTTTAGGCACCTGTACCTTTGTAGATCTGGGTCTTAACTGCTCTGTGACCCATTTTCCCCATTTGTAAAATGAGTATAATATATTACTCTACCTCGCTGGGTTGTTCTGAGCTCTGATTGGCTGATAGTTTAAAAAGGGCTTTGAGCTCTTCAGGTGGAAAGTGCTATATAAATGCTAAGTAACTAGAACTGATTTTAAAAGTATCTAGGACATACCTAACGGCTTCCAAATTACAAACCTTTATTTAATTCCTCAACAAACTCAGGGCTAGTTTAATGTTTCCATGAGAGCTGATTTACTACTTTTAAAATGCTTGTGAATATCTATTATCAAAATGTTAATTAATTTGCATAGTTAATGTGCATAGATGTGCCTAGGTGTCTGTAGGTAGCTACTCTCACTCACTTCTAGCCAAGCACAGATTGGAACGAGTGCCTTACACCATATTCCTTTAAGATACCCAAGCCTAGGCAGACCCCCTTCCAACAACATAGAGCAATTTGAAGACTCAAGGCCTTAGAAATCTCTGCCCTGTTACGTTTCCCCATGTCTGTCTGTCTGTCTGTCATTGAGGCCATGATTTTCATATTAATATATATGTAGTCCTGACTTATGACATATTGGGTCTTTTGTTGTATGCAGCATAGTTGTAGCCACATCAGCCCCAGGATATTAGAGAGACCAGGTGGATGAGGTCTTGTCTCACTAATATTGGGTCTTCTTCTGGTGTGGGAAGATAACTTCTTTAATTGAGAGCTGACCAGCTGAACGGTGAGCTCCAGGGAAAGCTCACAGAAACAGTCATAATGATGGCTTCCTGTACTGCTGCCACTGTAAAGCTGAACTGGCAAACATTGGGAAAGCTGCAATAAATGGTTTTAAGAGGTTAATTATATGAATTCAAACAGTTCATTGCAAAATAAGTATTCTGATCAAAATAAAGGGACCTCTGACTCTTTCCATTACCATGGTTGTGTAAGGTGTGGCAAGTGGGTTGTGTAGGTTTGGCCCCAGAGTATTAAGCTGTCTGAAGTGCCATCTTTCAGAAGTCTTTTTGCCTCCCTTAGGTACCAGCACACATCCCATCCTGGTCTCACCTTGAAAAATTCACTGCAGCCTCTCTCACCTTCACCAACTTGCCACATCCTACACAACCCATAGAGGGGTTGCTACTATACTCTCCCAGTCCAATGTATACTCTGTGAAGGGAGGTAGTTAGCCTGGGGCACGGCTTCCTTTTCCCTCATATGTGCTACCTACATCTCTGTAGAGCCAGACTTAGGATCTTTGTTTAGAAAAAAGAAATTAAAGTTAAGTGGATAATCTAACTGATGCCATCCTCTGCAGGAATCTGGGGGCAAACCTACCAGTTAGAACCTACATTTAACGAATCACTTTCTCCCATGGCTGCCTGAAGATGTTAGCAATGGAGTGAGTTATTTTTTCACAACACTTTCAAAACAAAAGGTGTTAGTTTCTTCTCTCTCCTGCCCCCCGCTCTCCCCAAAAAGGAGTGGGTAGGGAAATTTCATTTTAATTAAAAAAAATTGTCTTAGGTTAATATAAAATTATTCACATTTTCTTTATTTTTCAAAAAGCTTTTTCTCATCAGAAAGGAGCTAGGTGAAGTGTTTGGCTAGTCTTAGCCCCTTGTTCTTCTACAGCAGCAGAGGTCAGCCTGCATGGAACGTGGAGGGAAGATAGTGGGACCATATTTTCCCAAAGGGAAAACAGGACACTGCACAGGGCCAGCCTGAGGCACCCGCCACCCCATGGATGGGGCTGGCCCAAGCCCCCCGCCACCTGCTCACTTGGGGCTAGGCCAAGACCCCCCCTCTACCTCTGTGCACGGGGCTGGCCTAAAACTCCCTGCATCACACTGGCCCAGCCTGAGCTGCTCTCCCAAGTCCTCCCTCCTGCATAGGGCTGGCGTTGCCTCACCTCTCATCCCCCCTACACATTCCTCTGCAAGGGGTTGCACCCCACTTCTTTTTGAAAAACTGTGCATTTGATGATCAGTTGGCAAGAGCAAATACCCAGTTTTGCCAAAAGAGACAGGACAGGGTTTAAAAAAGGGTCTGTCCTGGCCAAAACAGGACATATGGTCACCCTAAGGGAAGAGGATGGAGACCTCATGCTATTACCCAGCATGAAGTACATGAAACAAGCATAAGTTTCTCTTTTCTCACTGACCCCACTTCTGTGAGGCAACAACAAAAGAGCCACATATGGTGAGACCACAGGTCCCTTGAGCCCAGCATCTTGTCTTCTGATGGGGGCCAGTGCCAGGTGCTTAAGAGGAAGTGAACAGAACAGAGCAATTTCAAGTGATCTATCCCCTCTTGTCCAGACTCAGCTTCTGCCAGTTGAAGGTTTAGGGACATCCAGAGCACAGGTTGCATGCCTGACTCTTAGCTAATTAGATACAGGGCTGGCTCCAGGCACCAGTGAAGAAAGCAGGTGCCTGGGGCAGCCAATAGAAAGGGGTGGCACTCTGTCAGTCATCGGGGCGGCATGTCCGGGACTTGGGCAGCAGGGCCTACAGTCCCTCTCTTCCTCTTTGGCAGCAGCTCAACCAGGCTTGGGATTTTTTTTTTGTTTCCCTTTGCCGCTTGGGGCAGCAAAAAAAGCTGGAGATGGCCCTGATTAAAGAGACAAGTTGAGTGAGGGGATATCTTTTATTGGACCAACCTCTGTTGGAGAGAGAGACAAGCTTTCAAGACCGAGCTTTTCTTCCAGTCTGGGGAAGGTAGTCAGAATATCACAGCTAAATGAAACGAGGAACAGCTAGAATGTCCTAACTACTTATGTTAAACTAAGGGACACTTAAAGTTAGAGTAGCCTGTTACTACCTGTGCAGTCATAGGATAAAAGCACACCAAGTCCTAGTCTACAGAGTTAAGTAGATGCAAGGCAGTTTACATCAAATCTGGTTTGAATGGGACATTCCAAATCCTGGGTAAAGGCTCTACTAGCTAAATGGGAAAAATCCGGCTATTCAACTACAGCAGCATCACAACTGACCTCTGTGGCCCCGAGGAAAGACTCTCGGCTGCCTGATGAATACCTCAAAATGTAAGGAAAGGCCAAACCATGGCCCAGGGCTTCCTATCCTGACTAACTGGTGGTGGTTGAAGAAAAAGTAACCAGCCCCAAAATGCTAAAACATAGCTATGGCAGGAGTTACCCCTTATTTGAGTACTGAACACCTCAATGGACACGACCTGGCAAAAGGCAGTGAGAAAGGAGTGACTATTAGAGATTTAGATTTAATTCACGATCAGCATGGAGGGTATCCTACCTTTTTAGGCAAGGTCTCTGAAGAGGTAGAGAGAGCTACTATGCTGATCCATTTAAAAAAAAAAGTCAATGGCTTGTAGCTGATCAGTGAGTAATGAATTCATTCTACAATGTTCATGACTATTGAACGTACTGGACTCAACTCCATTACAAATTCATAAATGAAGATGGATTTGTTATTATTTTAGCATGTAGAAGCAGAGGTCTGTTTCCCTTCATCCCTCCTGGCTGCAGAGTCCTCCCATCTGCATTACATTCATAGGTGCAAAGAATCTGTGCTCTCTCCCTCCCTCTTCTTTTTGAGAGGTTTCATTAGACCTTGGAGTTCAGCACAGGGTCTGAGGCCAGGCTAGCTCTCCTCTTAACATGCTTGCTTTGAAAGTGCTAGAGAAGCACGTTTGTGGCTTAAGAGCTACCAGCTAGACTTTTCCTGGAGAAAGTGTTAATACTCCCCACTCCTTGAAGGGAAAACAGTAGATTGAATCAACTGCTGAATTCTATAAAGTTTATTACAAACATCTAAAACACATACAAACCATTAAAACAATCACTCTGAGTAATATTAGCAGTGTTAGCATATATAGAGCATTGATAAACATGAGTCAATGGTCACCAAGTACAGAAGTCCAGCCAAGGAAAGGCAGGAGTAAGTCAGTGGCTACTGGATTGTTCTTGGGAAGCAGCAGCATCCCCTCTTGGTAAAGGCTCTCTAAGAGTTTTCTTGGGAAGAAGCTGGGAAAGGATGTTGGGCATAACTCCTCCTTCAGCAATGGTCACATCGGCAAACAGCTTGTTCAGCTCTTCATCGTTCCGCACGGCCAGCTGGATGTGTCGTGGCCCAATCCTGCCTTTCTTGTTTTCACGGGCAGCATTTCCTGACAGTTCCAATATCTCAGCCGTCAGATATTCCAGCACGGCCGCCAGGTAGACCGGAGCACCAGCACCTATTCTCTCAGCATAGTTCCCTCTTTTGAGAAGTCGGTGGACACGACCCACCGGGAATTGCAGGCCAGCCTTTGCTGACTTTGTTTTTCTTGGTAGAAGTGTAGGTTTTGCAGCCACCACATTTTTCTTTCCACGTCCAGACATCCTAACATCAAACCAGAGAAGAAGAACTAGGTTACGACAGTGTTACAGCTATACAATAAGAGCCAAAACGGTACCAAGGTTAAATATACCCTCCTAGTCCCATACCTAGATTTATTCACAAATGCACAAGAGGCCCCCCTAAAACCCACCTAGACAGCTCCCTAATAATTTGTTCAGCTTGAACTACAGCTCACCACTAGTAATCCCCTCTTTAAGCCATAGATCTCAAACAGATTTTGTTTAACTTTGGTGAATCATTGTCTCCCATGCCTGCCTTAAGTTAGCAAGGCAGCTAGTCAAGAATAATCTACCCAGAAACCACTTTTAGAGAACAATTTTGGTTCCCCTTGCCAAGAGAAGGCCCATGTGTCACCATCCACTCTATTCATATTACATAGGAGCAGATAGCTATTTTCAGATTTTTATTTTTAAAAAAAACAAAACAGAGGGATAGTTGGTTCTCCTATACAGACGCAGCATCTTTAGACTTATTTTCTGCTTCAGAGCAGCCAGGCCTATTCCCAAGAGACACAAGTAAGGTCTTACCAACGACTTTCAAGTGCCAAGTATTCCTTTAACAACTTCTGAAGCAATGTAATCTTAAAATGCTCCCAGTAGTTTTTTCACAGGACAGTGGGTATTTCGTGGGGTTTTTTCCTGCTGAAGGAAGATACCATTAGGCTCCCTAAGGCTGTTTTTTTTTTTTTTTTAAAAAGCTAAACAAAGACCTTCAAGAACCCTAAAGTAGAAGGGTATGGAGTCATGAAACTTTTATGTTGTAGAATCCACTGTCAGACTTATTTCTCTCAAAGCACAAGCATCAGTAGGGATTACTCTTCACAGTTTTTACCTTCTCAGTAGATGCTCACTAACTAGTTTTCACCAGTTAGTGCAGGATATATTAGAGTTCAGAGGTCATCAGCTTAATATAGAGCCATTAAAGCTCTTCTGTGTAGTACTGGTGAAAGGCAGAGTACAGTAGGAAAACAAACTGATCTTAAGTCTAGGACTCATGGTTTTGTGAGTATAATCTCCCTTGATAGCTCAAAAACCCCTATATCTATTAGGCTAGGGCAAAACAGTAAGGAAAACAAAATAGCCCTACATAGTCACATATAGAGTCAAGAAAAATCCTAGATATGAACTAAAGACAGAAGTTCTACCTTACATACATCTACTAATACCCACTATTGTTTTTTTCCAAAGCAATGCTTCCTTTGAAATACAATATCTTCACCCTTCAGGTATATAGCATAACTAAAAATCAAGACAAACTTCCTATTACCTTCAATGAACTTTACTTCATCCTCTCCCAAGCTTGCTACCAGCTCTATCCAGCAAACTCTTCTTATAGTAGAAGCTAATTACCTTCTTTTTAATCTCTCAGCAGTAGCCATCCTATTAGCAGCTTTTATTCTAGATCAGCTGACCACCTGGATTATTGATGAGCTATTCATTCCCCAAACTAGTAAACTTTATTATGGATGAAAGCAAGAAATTTATTACCAACACCTGAGAGATGGAGGAAGTTTCTTTTATCTTATCTGAATTAAGACTGGAAATAAGGGTGAACTGCCTCCAAATGATTTTTAGCTGAAGTCAGTAATTGGCAGTGACACTACTTGTTTGTTAAAGAGTATAAAAAGTAAACTGTTAAAGAGTTTATTGCTAATACCTGCCTGACCATGCTGAAGCTGACTACTATGGGCCTAAGCACCCTTAGGTTTAGCCTGTTTGTAAGTACCTTGATCAAATACTTATAAAATGTTTTGTTATTGTTTTGATGCAATAAATTGCTTATTATGTAGGTATATTTAGACCAACTGCATAAAGTACTCTTTGGATTTAATAAAGGAATTCATGGTTAAATTGGTATTTGGTGATTTCTCATACTAATAATTTCAAATATTAGTAATTCCAACAATCCATTTGTTTGTTTGAATTGCTATTAAAACTGCAGGTCAGTCTACATACCTAGGCTCTGTAGCCTAGCTGCATAAAGGGGCTTGAATGTTGCAATACTCAGCATTGCAATGCCTCATTTTTAGGCACCTTGAAAATCACGGGATCTACAAAGCCTGATGTAGGTGCCTATGCTCCCTATACAATGCTTGGAGAGAGACAGGTGCCAAGGAAAGGGGTCTACAAAAGCCAGCACAGTAAGTAGGGAACAGTCTATGATAGACTATGGAAGATGTTGATAATGGGAGTGTCCTAATCCCCACTCCTCTCACAGAGTTTGGCATCCCAGTCTCAAGGTTGGAGGGGAGTGCCTGTCTTTGCTTAGGGTCTATCAGAATGAGTTAGGTGCCTGCCTCAGACCACAAAAGAAAAAAAAAGGGGGTGGTGTGGACAAGGCATAAACCTCCCTTAAAAATCTTTAACCCAGTGATTTTGCTTCTTGTGCATCCTCAGAGATTGCAGCAAGGGGCCTGGTGGGGAGTTAAGTTGGAGATTAGGGAAAAATTTGATAACTGTCAGGGTGGCTAAACACTGGAATAAATTGCCTAGGGAGGTTGTGGAATCTCTGTCATTGGGGGTTAAGAGCAGGTTAGACAAACACCTGTCAGGGCTGGTCTAGATAATACTCGGTCCTGCCATGAGTGCAGGGGACTGGACTAGATGACCTCTCGAGGTCCCTTCCGGTCCTATGACTCTATGATTAGGGTATGCACATCAGATGTGGAAGACTGCAGTTCTATTCTCCCTTGTTGCTGGATGAAAAGGGATTTGAACAGGGAATCGACTCCCACTCAGGTGTGTGCCCTAACCACTGGACTATAAAGTCATTCTTATTTTGTCTTCTCTCCACAAAGTAGAATGGTTTCAACAAGAGAGATTGTGGGAATACCCTCTGCTGTCACCCCCACATCAGACTGCTCCATAGCCCCACTTAGTTAGCTAAGAGATGATCAACATCTGTTCACTTTGTTAGGCAGAGCGGGGAATTGAACCAGGGGGTTCTCACAGCCCAAATGAGAACCTCCACCACTGGTTTAAAGGGGAGGCTTCTTCACCCAGACATTTTCTGTGAGAGGCCTATAATCACCCCTACTGGATTGAGCCCTGCTGGCAAGATGTTCCTCTGCCCATCCTTCTCTGGTTTCAGGGCTCTGCTGGGACTTAGGCTGGAGATAGGTAGGCAGCTGGGTGTCTGAGGCAGCAGCGTGCGACCCCAGAGGCAAAAAGTTAAGCATAGAGAGGATTTTTATGGCAAAAATGTAGGGGCTGAGTGAGTTTAGACACCTACAGGGTTCAGCAGTAGCTAACCAGGGGTTTTGTGATCACAGTGGTGCATAAAACTAGGACTTAAGCACCTAAATCTAGGTTTTAGGCACCTAAGTTCCTTTGTGGATCTGGCTATCACTGACTCCCAGCATAGCACAAACTGGAACCAGCAACTAAGACCTCCGTTCTGCCAACATGTTGGAATTGGTAATAATATCTGAAGTTATTTATATTGATATGGGAAACCCCCAAAACACTAATTTAACCATAAATTCCTTTATTAAATCTAAAGGCCAAATGGTACTTTATGCACTTACACTAAACATGCCTAAATAATAAGCAATTTACTACATCCAAACAATAACAAAACCATTTATAAGCATTTGACCAAGCTACTTACAAATGGGCTAAACCCCTGGCTGCTTAGACCCATATTGGTCAACTCCAGGACAGGCAGGTATTAGCAATAAACCCTCTCAGAGTTTACTTTTTATACCCTTGAACAAAGAAATGATGTCATTGCCAGTTACTGAGTTCAGTTGAAGACAGTTAACCCTTATTTCCAGTTTTAATCCAGCTAAGATTTACAACCTCATTTACAAAGGCCTTTCCTCCACTCCCTCTTGCTATCCAATGATTTTTCCATTGCACCTGGATTCACACAGGTTGTAACACTGGTATGTGGGTTATGGAAGGGCTGTTTTGGCTCATTTTAAAACAGATTCTCTGTTTGATTTAAAACCATCAGCAGTCACCCCTAGCAGTCAGAGACCTTTTCAGGAAACTTCCCCTTATCTCTTTAGTTATTCTGTGCATCAGACATCCTCCCTACTTTATTCTTCTGGTCTTATTACTTATTATTTCCAAGGCCTTCCTTATACTTACTAGTCAGGGCCTTTCTTTATAACACATATGTAGTTCCTTAACCAAACTTAAACTAATTTTAATTCTTTAATTTTATACTTATCCTACAACAGGTATGCACTTTACACATATGAGCCCCAATCCTGCAAACACTTGTGTATGTGCTTATCTTTACTATTGTGAATAGCCCCATTGAAATCAAAGGAACTACTCATAAAAGTCAAGTTACACACATGTATAAGTTTTTGCAGGATTGATGCCTAAATTAGTAGGTTAGAAAAGGGCATAGTGATTATTTAAACAAAGAAACATAGAAATGCTGAAAATGAAGACTGGATGTATTGCAAGGATTTCAATAAAAAGAAAAGGAGTACTTGTGGCACCTTAGAGACTAACCAATTTATTTGAGCATGAGCTTTCGTGAGCTACAGCTCACTTCATCGGATGCATACCGTGGAAACTGCAGCAGATATTATATACACACAGAGATCATGAAACAATACCTCCTCCCACCCCACTGTCCTGCTGGTAATAGCTTATCTAAAGTGATCATCAAGTTGGGCCATTTCAAGCACAAATCCAGGTTTTCTCACCCTCCGCCCCCCCCCCCAAACTCACTCTCCTGCTGGTAATAGCCCATCCAAAGTGACCACTCTCTTTAAAATGTGTATGATAATCAAGGTGGACCATTTCCAGCACAAATCCAGGTTTTCTCACCCCGCCCCCCACCCCCCTCCAAAAACCACACACACAAACTCACTCTCCTGCTGGTAATAGCTTATCCAAAGTGACCACTCTCCTCACAATGTGTATGAAAATCAAGGTGAGCCATTTCCTGCACAAATACAGGTTTTCTCACCCCCCCATCCCCTTTTTTTTTTTTTCAAAAAAACACACACACAAAAACTCACTCTCCTGCTGGTAATAGCTTATCCAAAGCGACCACTCTCCCTACAATGTGCATGATAATCAAGGTGGGCCATTTCCAGTTCAAATCCAGATTTTCTCACCCCCCCCCCCCCACAAACTCACTCTCCTGCTGGCAATAGCTCATCCAAACTGACCACTCTCCCTACAATGTGCATGATAATCAAGGTGGGCCATTTCCAGCTCAAATCCAGATTTTCTCACACACCCCCCCACACACACAAACTCACTCTCCTGCTGGCAATAGCTCATCCAAACTGACCACTCTCCTTACAATGTGCATGATAATCAAGGTGGGCCATTTCCAGCATAAATCCAAGTTTAACCAGAACGTCGGGGGGGGTAGAAAAAAACAAGGGGAAATAGGCTACCTTGTATAATGACTTAGCCACTCCCAGTCTCTATTTAAGCCTAAATTAATAGTATCCAATTTGCAAATGAATTCCAATTCAGCAGTTTCTCGCTGGAGTCTGGATTTGAAATTTTTTTGTTGTAAGATAGCGACCTTCATGTCTGTGATTGCGTGACCAGAGAGATTGAAGTGTTGTCCGACTGGTTTATGAATGTTATAATTCTTGACATCTGATTTGTGTCCATTTATTCTTTTACGTAGAGACTGTCCAGTTTGACCAATGTACATGGCAGAGGGGCATTGCTGGCACATGATGGCATATATCACATTGGTGGATGTGCAGGTGAACAAGCCTCTGATAGTGTGGCTGATGTTATTAGGCCCTTTGATGGTGTCCCCTGAATAGATATGTGGGCACAGTTGGCAACGGGCTTTGTTGCAAGGATAGGTTCCTGGGTTAGTGGTTCTGTTGTGTGGTATGTGGTTGTTGGTGAGTATTTGCTTCAGGTTGGTAAAATATTAATGAATAAAAATGGTTGATATTTTCCAAATCAGAAATCTCAGTCTCTGAAGTGTTCCTCTCTCTCCTCCTCATAATTTTGTTATGTCTTTTGGAGCTGATTAATGCCAGAGGTGTCATTTCCTCTGGATTAATTGTTCTGAAAGACGTGTTAATGAGCTGGTCCTTGCTTAAAACAAGAGGAATAGCCCTAGTCTAGAAGGACAGGAGTCTTAAATGCACTTTAGTTTTTTCTGAGAGGGGAAAAAAGTATGAAAAGGTAAATTATTGGCTTACAATATTTTAAATGTACTGTAATCCACTGCTGTCTTAGTATGTGATGCTTTTAATGTGAAGGACTTTTTCCTTCTAAGAGTGGACCTTTATTCTCTACTACCACACATATGTGACTAAAATGTCACAAAGAAACATTAAAGCTTTTTTACTTGGGTGTAAGTTCAGACCTGAACTTTACTACATGTAAGTGAGAAGCTATGGGGAAGTAATAAATCACATGAAAAGAGAACAGGAAGGGGTCTTTCCTCTATCATTTTGAAATACCAAGTGTAATTTCCTGCACATAGAAAAATCTTAAAGGGAATTTATATTAGATGCTCTCACACACTGTTTTCCTCATTATCTAACTAACCTCGTTATCCCTAGCCTGATTCTTGCTTCCATATTTATACCTGCCTCTAGAAATTTCCACTACATGCATCCGACGAAGTGGGTATTCACCCACGAAAGCTTATGCTCCAATACATCTGTTAGTCTATAAGGTGCCACAGGTCTCTTTGCTGCTTTTACAGATCCAGACTAACATGGCTATCCCTCTGATATTTGTTTTCCTTCTGAGGATCTGTTAGAGATAGTGATGGTGAGCAGGGAAGAGCGTGCTAGAGTTCTTGAATGTAGGGGCAACTAAGAGACTCAGATGTTAGACCCACATGGGAAAAATCAGTTGAGTTCTCAGACTACCTCTGTTCTAAGCTTATGATTGACTTGTCTAAGCTGTTACTACTAACAAGAAAAGCAGGAGATACTTTGGGAAGTGACACCTCTCTGTAGCACTAGACCTGTGTAAATGTATGAATATATATCTCCATAGAAATTAAGTTAGTGACGTGTCAGAATGGTTAAATGTGGTACGTTGCTAAAATATCCCTACACTGAACAGTCAATATAATTAAATAATTACTGACCTACTTTTAGTACTTGTATATAGAGCTGGCTGGAAAACCATTCTGTTTCGTGAAAAATATTGAGGTTTTGGAATTGTTTTTGTTCTCCATCAGAACAAAAACGAGACCTTTAAAAACATTTTGTCCAAAAAAATACCCTCCTCCCCCACCAAAATAGCCAATCACTCAATGATTTGGGCTCTCACTTGGGGATGTGCAACTTCAGGTTTAAGCCCTATTCTGCATGATTCAGAGCACACACTTGAACCTAACGAGTCTCCTACACCCCAGCTAAGTACCCTAAACACTGGGCTGTTGTAGGGTTTCTGGCTTTCTCTTCCTGGTTTTGGCCAGAAAAACTCCATCCTGGATCTGAAACACCTTCCCAAAAAGGCTGGTTGAAACCAATCTGTTTCCACAAAAAGTTTTGGTTCTGACAGTTTGAGATTTTTATTTATTTATTTATTTATTTTTACAAATCAGTTCTACTTCTATACCACCTAGTCCTACAGAACTTCAGCCTAGGACTGAATAATGGAGACATTACCAATTTACCACTCTCCTGATCTCCAGGCAAAGAACAGAGCTTTCCCACCAAGGTAGTGAGCAACCGAAGCTGGTCTGCACCTGAACAGAGCTAGAATTCAGAAACTCTGAATTTCTGTTCCATGGGAAATCCTGACATCCTGAAATTTGGTTTTGTTCCAAATTGGAATGAAAACAACATTTCTGAATTTCCTGTAAAACAAATCTTTTGAAAAAATATTTTGGACCAATTGAAATGCTCAGTTTCAATTTTTAAAAGAAAAGTTGTTTTGAAATGACAACATTGAAATTTTTTAATTTTTTAAAACATTTTGTCAAACATTCCCATGGAAAAATCAGATAGAAAAACATTTCATTGGAAAGTATTTAACCAGCTCTACTCCTGAACCTCCTAGGTTTCCAACTCACCTTAAGAGAACAAGCTACACAAATACAAGGCCAAGGTGCCATTGAGTTAGTACCACAGTAAATCAGCTGTTGTCCACTACCATTGACACCTTGACCCCAAACCATCCACTCACCACACACTGACCAAGAATATAATTGTGGCTCATACAGATGAGCTATGACAGATGGCATGCACAAGCAAAACATTAGAACGCCAGTGGTCCAAAAACCATTCTCTCTGACAGATTGGTATTTATCTAGTGCAATGTATAACTACAGCAGTCTATCAGTGAAGAAAAATTGTAAGGATACTGACTGGGATTTTTACTAGTTTTTCTACTAGTTTTATTAAAAATATAAATCTTATGGGCATGATGCTATGAATGATGAGATTTCACCATCCACCACACCCAGCTGAGTAAAAATGCCACCAACTGGCAAAAAGATCAACAGAAAAATTGTGCTTACAAGGAAAACAAAGTCACCAAGGGCTGGTCTACAATTCCCAGTGGGTCGTGTTCACCAGCTTCTCCGAAGAGGGAACTATGCTGAGAGAATAGGTGCTGGAGCTCCGGTTTACCTGATGGCTGTGCTGGAATATCTGATGGCTGAGATACTGGAACTGTCAGGAAACGCTGCCCATGAAAACAAGAGAGTCAGGATTTTACCACGACACATCCAGCTGGCTGTGAGGAACGAGGAAGCACTGAACAGGCTCTTTGCAGATGTGACCATTGCAGGGGGAGGAGTTTTGCCAAACATTCTTGCCCAGCTTCTTCCCCAGAGAACTCCTAAAGATCCTTCAACAGAAAAGATAGCTGTTGCTTCCCAGGAAGAATCCAGTAATGACGGACCCAGAGAAAATGTACGCTTCCTCCTCGTCTCCAGTTCTTCACCAACATGGAACCCTTGTTAATCAATGTGTTGTGTCTGCAAATTGCTGCTAAATATTCAGACTGATTATCTTAATGTGTGGGGTTTTTTAACTGTTGAAACAAACAATTCCAATCTACTAACTGTTCTCCTGTCCGTTAATTCAATAACATTTTCCTAGAAAAGTGTTTAAGCTTGCAGCTTTTAAACAATATGAACTTGGCTCTTTAATGCTACTAAAGCAATTATACGAGGAGTAGGGCTAGCCTGACTGACCTCAGTCTCTGTTTTGTATTGCAGGCAGGGCTTAAATTCAGCTGGAGCTGTCCGCAGCAAAGCTCCAGTAAATATTTTCAAACCCACGGGACTGAAGCCCCAAGCCCTTGTACCCCCCCACATTGCTGAAGCCCTGAGTCCCAGTGCTCTGGGAAATACTCTGAGAATTTAAGCCCTGATTGCAATCTATACTCAGCTCTCCTTAAGAGGAGAGTTTTGTAGAATAAGATGTGCAAACAGAAGCCTATTATTGCTGTGCAAACTATTGGGTTGGGTACGCTGGTAACTGGGAGCAGAAGTTCTTACGCATTGTGTACCTAATCTAGGAAGCTGGTCATCAGGTAGTTATTACTAATTTGAGGTGGATATCTGGGAGGGTGGAGGCTTATCCGTATCTACCACATTTCTGAGGACATATTACATACAGACAGCCTATCAGAGAGGCTGTAGGCAGTGCCACTGGCATATAATTTTGCTCACTGTTAAAAGCAGCAAGGTATTACCTGTTCCAACAAAGGATGGTCCTGGCACTTCCAAACTAGGAGCTGAAAACCCAAAGAAATGGGGGGCCTGATTTTACCCTAACTTAATACTAGCATAATTCCATTGATTTCAGTGGGAATTATTCCTGATTTATATCTGAATCAAAGGCCCTGGGCCTCTGACTGTAGTTACAGTAACAAAACAAAAGTGGGGTTGGTGGGAATCAAATATAAAAAGGGACATTGTGAACAGCCTCCCTGGCATACTCTAGAACGGCCGGTGCATCGGGAATGATATCAACCATTCTGCTTTGATATTATTGAAGTTGCTTTCCACGCTACTTACCCCTGCCTCCATTCCAGTTGGTGTTAATCCATCTCCATCTTGGGATGAGTTAAAAATGCAGCAGCTAGACCACAGGACCCTTTCTCATCTGTCCCAGGAACTTTTTCATGGTCTCCATGTGCCAGGTTTTCTAACTGTCTATTGCATTAGACTGGCTCCAGTCAGATTACCCACTTTGCCTCTTCAATAAATAGTATTTCCCTGCTCCTGACATGAGGGCCAAGAAAGGACTCTCTCTGTGCCCAACATTACTGAAGGCAGAGCCAGCACCTATGGCTGGAAGATAGGGAACAAGTTTGCGTTGACTAAGGCAAACCACAGCCTTTTGGCTCAGTACAACTGAGGATTGGAGGAAGCTGGTAGCTGTACAGCTCAGGCTCTGTTGTCATTGGGTGGATGGTTTAGATCCAAAGGTAAAGAGTAAGTCCTCCTCCACCCTGAATAGCAGGCATCAATAACTATAAAATCTCCAAAGCCAAACACTTACATTTTCCCTTTCTACAGAGAAGGGTGAGAAATAAAACCTTTATGGGTAACCTCTCATGCTACTGCTTTAATTAATGTGCATGGCACTTAGATACGAAAGTGATCGTTGCTTTAGGAATACTCTAGATATATAGAACAACACAGGGTTTCAATAACTAAGAGGGGGTGCCAGGGTGCTTGCCATCAGTTCTGGGGGAAGATCAAAAGGTTTTATCCATCCTGTAACTTACGAAGGGTCAGATGCATTTTCATCCAATTTGATAAAAAGTACCATTTTCTGGAATGCAAAGTCTGTCTGGAATTAATATTTTAAAATGAAGTTTACAACAGAAATATTGCCAGATTCTTAAATATAAATGAACCAGCAGGTGCTGTTCTACTGAGCTTCAGCACATCAAAGGCATATCATTACATGCATGTTTGGTAATATGCATATTTATTATTTTATCATGGCAGAGCCTTGGAGGCCCCACTTTGCTGAGCACACATGAACACATAAGCAAAAGATGGTTTCTTCCCCAAAGAGCATACAATCTAAGGCCCTTGTCATAAATATACAGGTAAGGGTAGCATAAAATTCTTCCTTACCTGTAAAGGGTTAAGAAGCTCAGATAACCTGGTTGGCACCTGACCAGAAGGACCAATGGGGAAAGAAGATACTTTCAAATGGAGGAGGGGGGGAGGCTTTGTTTGGTGCTCTGTGTGTGTTCTCCCCAGAGACAAAGGGAGCAACCAAGCAAGTAATCCAGCTCCCACTGAAATGATACATCTAATATTACAGAAATAATAAGTAATAGCAAGGAAATGTGTTATAGTATCTTTTGTTTTAACTTGTGAATTGTCCCTGTGCTAAGAGGGAGCTTTATCCCTGTTTTTGTAACTTTAAAGTTTTGCTTGGAGGGGAAATCTTATGTGTTTTGAATCTTTTTGTTACCCTGTAAAGTTATCTTCCATCCTGATTTTACAGAGGTGATTCTTTTATCTTTTTTTAAATAAATTCTTCTTTTAAGAACCTGATTGATTTTTCATTGTTCTTAAGATCCAAGGGTGGGTCTGTGTTCAACTGTACCAATTGGTGAGGATATTATTCTCAAGCCTTCCCCAGGAAAGGGGGTGTAGGGTTTGGGGGAATATTTTGGGGGAACAGGACTCCAAGTGGTCCTTTCCCTGATTCTTTGTCTAAATCACTTTGTGGTGGCAGCATACTGTTCAAGGACAAGGTGGAATTTGTGCCTTGGGAAAGTTTTTAACCTAAGCGGGTAAAAATAAGCTTAGGGGGTCTTGCATGCGGGTCCCCACATCTGTACCCCAGAGTTCAGAGTGGGCAAGCAACCTTGACAGCCCCAATCCTACAAACATGTTTATAGTTTTATTCACGTGAGTGGTCTCTCTGAAGTCAAGACAACTGATGGCCCTGACCCTGCAACCAGCTTTGAAGAGATGGACCTTTGAGGTCATATGAATCCCCAGAGACGTATGTCTGTGCATAGCCAGTTGCAGGATTGGGGCCAATAAGAGTATGATCAAGCATGTGAAGAAATGTTTGCAGAATCTGTGCCCAGTAGCTTGAAGTTATTTTAGCACCAAATACATCTGTGTTAGTAAACCTCTATTCTCACGTGAGGCCCAATGGAAATCAATGGGCCTTGCACTGGAACAGGGAGCCCACCCATCTAGATACAGTTGCAAGACTGAGGCCTTATCCTTGATTTAATTGCCTTTATTGTTATAGGAAGATTCAGTAGTAGGGGGAAGCGAAGCAGTACTACAAAATCTTGCGTTTGAGGTTCTTTATTTAACTGGAACATTCTTGTTTTTATTTTAAACTGGAAATTTTTGATAATTCCTTTTGGTATATTTTCAACATTTCCACATTTAACATTTTTTCTGTAAGATAAATAACAAGTACACAGATTCAACACGTTATCAAATACTTTAACATGAAAATTTGAGCTTTTCCTAGCTGGTAAAATTTCCACAACATTCCCATATAGTAAACATATAGACCCCAATCCTGAAACCACTTATGCAGGCAAGCAACTAAAAGACCATAAGAACTTTGATATTTGAAGTAAGCAGGAGAGGAAAAACACATTGACAACTGAAAATTAAAAATAATAGACTCCTAGATTTTAAAACCAAAGGAAACCAATTGTGATCATCTACTCTGACATCCTGCATAACACAGGATGTTATTTTATTAATTCCTGTTTCAAGCCCAATAGCAGTGATAGAACTAGAGCACATCTTTTAGAAAGACAGACACCTTGATCTAAAAATTTCCAGTGATTATGAATTCACCATGACCTTTGGTCGGTTGTTCCACTGGTTAATTATCCTCACTGTTAAAATATATATACCTTATATCTAGTCAGAATGTGTCTAGTTTCAATTTCTAGTCCCTGGATCTTTTATACCTTTTGTCTGCTAGACTGAAAAATCCTCTATTATCAAGTTTCCTTTCCCCATGTAGTACTTACAGAATATGATCGTCACTCCTTAACCTTCTCTCTGTTAAGCTAAATTGATTGAGCTCCGTGAGTCTCTTGTTATAAGGCTTTCCAATCTTCCAGTCATTCAAGTGGCTCTTCTCTGAATCCTCTGAACTTTTTAATATCCCCCTTGAATTGTGGGCACCGTACACAGTATACCAGTGCTAAATCCAGAGATAATATAACCTCTCTGTACCTGCTCAATATTCCCATTTATACATCCAAAGATCACATCAGCCCTTTTGGCCAGAATCACACTGGGAGCTCATGTTCAGCTGATTATCCACTATGATCCCCAAGTCCTTTTCAGAGTCACTGCTTCAATAGAGACCCTCAGCCTGTAAGAACAGCCTACTATGTTTTTTGTTCCTAGATGTATGTAACTTACATTTGGCTGTACTGAAATGCACAGTGTTTGCCTGTTCCCAGTACTTCACTTATTTACTACTGTTCCAATCTTTGTGCCATCTGCAAACTTTATTTGTAACGATTTTATGGGTTTTTTTTCTAAGTTATTGATAAAAATGTTAAATATGGTAAGGCCAAGAACTGACCCCTGCAGGACCCCACTAGAAACACCGCCACTCAACAGCCACTTAACCAGCTTTTAATCAATTTAATGTGTGCCATGTTGATTTTGCATCACTCTGGTTTATTAATCCGGATGTTCTATTCTACTAGTCAAATGCCTTACAGAGGTCTAGGTATTTTACATTAACAGTATTATCTTTCTTAATCAAACTTCTAATCTCTCTATTAAAAAAAAAAGTTAGTTTGACAAGGCCTGTGTTCCATAAATCATGTTGATTAGCATTATTATATTACCCTCCTTTAGCTCTTTATTAAATGACTCCCATATCGGTTATTCCATTTTTTTCCCCAAAACTGATGTCTGATACAGGCCTATAGATACAGTCTGATACAGGCCTATAGATCTCTGGGTCATTTTTAAATACTAGCA